TTTTTTAAAACTATAGATAAAACTGAGGATTAGAGAAACTAAATAAAATTTTACCAATTTGGCACGGCTTGTGGAGCCAAAAGATAATCTGAACCCAAGTTGTCTGACACTCTTTCCATCACTCATGCTGCCTCCCTATAGATGAGATGATAAAGAGTATAACTTAAATTTGGTCCAGGCGCGGTGGCTCATGCCTGTAATCCCAGCACTTTGGAAGGCTGAGGTGAGCGGACCACTTGAGGCCAGGAGTTAAGAGATCAGCCTGGCCAACACAGCAAAAACCTGTGTCCACTAAAAAAAATACAGAAATTTGTTGGGCGTGGTGCACTTCTGTAATCCCAGGTACTCAGGAGGCTGAGGCAGGAGAACCCCTTGAACTTGGAAGGTGGAGGTTGCAGTAAGTCAAGATCACACCACTGCATTCCTGAAAAGCAAGACTCCATCTCAAGAAAAAAAGAATGTGACTTAAATTTGAATGAAATATAATTATCTGATTATCAATTCAATGAATCATTACATTACAGTTTAGAATTCTGAATGGTATAATAAAATAGTATTGCATATCTTTTTAACTAAGAACTTCTAATTCTGTTGCTGTTGCTTTTTAACATTTTAATATCAACATACAAATTTCATAATACCTTGGTTTGATTTAATGCCTTTTTATAATATTTCAAATACTTGAATTTTTATATTAATATATAGCAAAAGAACATAAAAGAGCACCAATGTTTATCTACAAACCACAGAGCAAAAAAGTTTTAGAGGGAGACTCAGTGAAACTAGAATGCCAGATCTCTGCTATACCTCCACCAAAGCTTTTCTGGAAAAGAAATAATGAAATGGTACAATTCAACACTGACCGAATAAGGTAGGATATGTATTTCTAGACTTACTATAGTTTATTTACTTACTATAGTTTATTTCCAGCTATACTTTTTAACATGCATTATAAATGGCATGTATTTATCTCAATTTGTCTAGTTTTTAAAACACTAAAGAAAAATAAAATATATATTAGATAATAAATACAAGAAAACTTCAAAAAGCCAAATTCCACTAATCAGAAATGTAAGCCATAAAGTAGACTAGGATTTATCTTTTATCAACAATGATGAAAGACAGCTCAAGGACACAAATGACATAAACCAGATTAAGGGGGGGGATGTTGTCTCTTTTTTTTTTTTACAAAAAGCCTCAGCCTTTATTAACAAAGGAGGAGGTAGAAGACAGATAAGGGAACAGGTCAGGATTCCTCCTTTCCCCTATGCATAAACATAAATACAAACACAGAAACACAGGGACCATCAGATCAGGGGACAGATTGAAGGGCAGAGGGAGACACCACCCAAGTGAGAATCTTTAATTTAAAAAGACCAATAGCTATTTGGCAATAAATAGATACAGCTTCGGAATTTTCAAATGCTTCTTTTTCTTCTTAGTCTGACTGTAGGTTAGAGACATCCACTTCACAGAAATAATTCCTATACTTTCATTTCTTAAAAATTTTTTTTCAGCTTATATCAAGATAACACTGGAAGAGTTACTTTACTGATAAAAGATGTAAACAAGAAAGATGCTGGGTGGTATACTGTGTCAGCAGTTAATGAAGCTGGAGTGACCACATGTAACACAAGATTAGATGTTACAGGTATGTCATACTATTAACCAAAGTATTACAAGGGATTTAACTAGGAAGATTTAATAAGAAATGCAAATCCCAGCAGAGTATAAAATTTGAGAGATTTTCCCCATATATAATCAGTTTTGGTTCTTTTTTCTTTTCCTGTCTGATCATAAATACCTAGTATGGCCAATTTGGTTAGAACAGGTTTTCTGAATCAACTTTTATATGATCTATTTCAGCACGTCCAAACCAAACTCTTCCAGCTCCTAAGCAGTTACGGGTTCGACCAACCTTCAGCAAATATTTAGCACTTAACGGGAAAGGTTTGGATGTGAAACAAGCTTTTAACCCAGAAGGAGAGTTTCAGCGTTTGGCAGCTCAATCTGGACTCTATGAAAGTGAAGAACTTTAATAACTTTACCAACATTGGAAAACAGCCAACTACACTATTAGTAATATATTTGATTACATTTTTTGAAATTAATCCATAGCTGTATTAACAGATTATGGTTTTAATTAGGTAATATAGTTAATATATATTTATAATATTATTTATCCTTGACTCTTGCACATTCTATCTACTCTTCTGATTTGTGAAGCCTACAGAAAATCTGGGTATATGGATTTGTAACTGTAGAAGATGATCTTAAAATGCAGGATTTTAACATTTAAGTCATACACATTTAACAATTACAGGTTATAAATTAATATCAACTTTTTAAACACATCTAATACTTGTAATAAGGTTTACTGGTACTGCTTTCTAAATACTGTTTTACCTGTTTTCTCTTGTAGGAATACTAACATGGTATAGATTATCTGAGTGTTCCACAGTTTTATGTCAAAAGAGAATAAAATTCAATTATTTAAAACAGACTGTCTCCTCTTCACAAAAGACTAGATCTGTAAAATAAAACTCCACTCAGCAAAACCTATGAATAACAAGTTCCAAAAGAGCAATATTATATTCTAGAACAGTGTGAAGCTCACTTACAGCTCAGCCAATTCCTCTAGAAACTGAGCTAGACTTTCCATGGTTTGCACTTCAAAGGCAACCACAATAACTTAAATTATGACTGAATCTACAGAATTATGATTTTGTTTTAACCAAATAGGTCTCTAATTCTTCAGGATTTTTTAGTCTGTTATGCTCAAAGGAATAAGAATAGTTTCATTCTTGCCTCGGCAGCACATATACTAAAATCGGAATGCCATAGAGGAATAAGAATGGTCTCTAGAGGTTGCCTGCTTAATTCTCATAGTTAATGTAAATTTGACAGCCCTGTAGCCCCAGCTGCTGGGAGAGGTTGAGCTGGGGATTCCTTAATTTGAGTCCAGACTGGGAAACATAGCGAGACTCCATCTTTTAAAATTATTATCGGCCGGTGCAGTGGCTCACGCCTGTAATCTCAGCACTCTGGGAGGCCGAGGCGGGTGGATCACCTGAGGTCAGGAGTTCAAGACCAGCCTGGCCAACACGGTGAAACCCTGTCTTAAAAAATAAAACTATCATGTAATGCCTATATATGGGTGTTTTTCCTCCAATAATTTCAATTTCAAATAACCTGTTACATTAGAAAGCATAATTTTGTGAGCAGCTGAGAGTCCCAGTACGAGAAAGCCCAAATCCTTTTGTTAAAACTATTCTATAGCTCTTTCTTTTCTTCAGGCCTCTAGTTTCCTCTAGTTCACTGGCTGTCAGCCTTTTGCGAGGCCTCTCCTGATCCTTTTATCAATGGTAGTTTTTGACCCTCACTACTGTGTGGCCTAGCTTTGCCTTTTATCTACACATAAAACAGCATTTATCGACATCAGTCTACATGTCTTTCAGGGAAATCACAAAAGTGGCTTTATCTTTTACTTTAAAACTGTGTAGTGGTTTTCTTTGCAGGTTTCCCTGGAGCCTTTGGACTGGATTCCATTTTATTTTCCTTTTTATCAACACAAGAATCCGTCCTGTCTTACATGCTGGAGAGCTTTTTGTTGCCTTAATTTACAGCCAAATTAGTTTGGCCTTTTCTGTAGCTGGTTTATCAACCTTCTCATCTTTGCAAAGCTTCTGGGTCAGATGTGGGTCTGGCCTCCCAAGGACTCCTGTTTTCGCCTGCCCTTTCACACAATCACTGCAGGGTTTTTCATCTATTTTAACGTTAGGTGGGGCAGGGGAGTGGAAGCTACTTCCAGCAACAGCTCTCGGTTAATAACCAGTTTCTGTAAGTAGCAGCAGCAGCAGCGTAGGGTCACGGTTAGGCATTCGGGCTTGGGCATCCAACAGACTTGGCCCCAACTTTCAGTGAATTATTTCATTTCTCAGCGTCTCGGTTTCTTCGGGACTAAAATGAGGACAAAAATACCTACCTTTCACGGAGGTGGATGTGGAGACTAAACAAAGCGATAAATGTTAAAGACATTCGAGAAAGAGAAGCCCGTGATAATGAATGAATGCGATTTTTAAGCCCACAGCCAGGTTATTCCCAGAAGTTGGCCCTCCACACCAGACCCCCCGCAACCAGCCGCCCGCAGACCCTGCGGCGCAGCCGCGGTGGCGACTCGTCGAGTAGCTCGCAGCCCTGGAGGAGCTGGGGCCTCGCGCAGGCGTCAGCGCCGAGCAGCGCGCGCCGGGACACTAGCGCGCAGGCGCCGCGGCGTCGGGCGGACGAACCGGCGGTGTAGTCTAAGTCCTCCATGGCTGAGGCGTCGCGGTGGCACCGAGGCGGTGAGGGATGCTCCTAAGGAGTGGGAGGGACAGGGGCGATATGGCAATTTCAGACACCCTGGAAGGAACTCTGCGGCTCCAAATTCATGTGAGCGATGTGACTGGCGACACCTTTAGCCCTCACAGCCTCCCCTGGAGAAACGGAGAGGGACAGATGGTCCCATTGCACCGAGGGGAAAACCGAAGCCCTGGGCGCCGTGGCACTCCCCTCTTGCCAGAGGCTTGAGATGGGCGTTGCCACCTGCTGTCTAGTTGCCGTCGCTAGGCCGGTCTCTAAAGTCCTTTGTTGATCTGGGGAATCGTGACCTTGACAGAATTCAAGCGGGGTGCTCTTTCCCCCTCCAGCAGAAACTAGCCTTCCCAAGAAGCAGTATTGAGGGTGGAGAAAACGGTTAGGACAGATGAGGGGTTTTGCTTGTTTTGTAATTTGCTTTTTCATCTTAAGACAGGACTGGTGAGAAGACATCATGATATAAAATCTGTTATTAATAGTATATAGTCAAAAAATGACGACCCGCTTACCCTGATGGGAAAATTTAGTAATTATTCCTGCCTCGTAAAACTAAGAATTGAAAAATAGCTAGAAGCTGTTGGAGCTTTCCTCCTCTCAATGTAATGACTAAAAGTGGTTGTGGTTTTTCCATTGTTGTCACTTAAAAACATTATAAATTACATAATAATGTAAGGAAAAATTTTGTCTTATATCTCACAGGGACTTCGAAACATAAGCTGCATTACAGAAAGGAAGTAGAAATTAGAACCACACTTCAGGAGTTGTTACTCTACTTAATTTTTTTAATAAACCTATGTATATGTAAGTACACGGATATAAATAAAGATACTGTTTGAACTAAGAAGTTAAAATGTGGAGATGAAAAATAAAACATCTAGACTTCAAAACCTTAAGCTGTGAGGCTACTAAAACTCAAAATATAGTGACACAGTTTACATATAATCTTAAATTCATTTAGATTCATTTCATTTAGAAATTGACTATTTCCAGTTCTTAAGGGGCAAAATTTTACATCGCATATATAAGAAGCTTCCAGCCGGGCGCGGTGGCTCAAGCCTGTAATCCCAGCACTTTGGGAGGCCGAGGCAGGTGGATCACGAGGTCAAGAGATCGAGACCATCCTGGTCAACATGGTGAAACCCCGTCTCTACTAAAAATACAAAACATTATCTGGGCATGGTGGTGCGTGCCTGTAATCCCAGCTACTCAGGAGGCTGAGGCAGGAGAATTGCCTGAACCCAGGAGGCGGAGGTTGCGATGAGCCGAGATCGCGCCATTGCACTCCAGCCTGGGAAACAAGAGTGAAACTCCGTCTCAGAAAAAAAAAAAGAAGCTTCCCTATATTGATTGAATATAATTATTCCTTTCATTTGGCATTTCTGTCCTGAACATAATTCATCCCTTGGGCTGGCAACTGCAATTTTATTTTGTTGAGAGTCATATAGACACATCAACTGAGTTTTATAAATCAAAGTACAAATGAGGCCAAAGTTCATCTTGGTGTCTGCCATTAGCTTGGTTCTTTTCACTGACCTAATGCAGTTAAAAAAATACATATGTTTGTGCTGAGTCAATGCAAATCATTAGGAAGGATTGGGAAAACATCTCAACCTGCATTCCACCTATCTGTGGGTCAATAGCATTGGCTTAATATGTGAAGAGGAGTATTAAAGAGCATTTGTCTTTATGGCACCCAATATACAGTTGATGAAAGCTCAAATTTATCTCATGTTGCTATGTGCTACACACTGGAAGTTGTATAGCAATTAAGTAATTAATTAGTGGTGTAGGGTGAGTTCGAGTTCCATCTTGATTGAAAAGACAACTATAAAATTAGCCAGGTATGGTGGCACACACCTGTAGTCCTAGCTACCCAGGAGGCTGAGGTGGAGGACTGCTTGAGCACAGGAGGTCCAGGCTGCAGTGAGCTTTTATTGCAATGACTGCACTCCAGCCTGGGTGACAGGCTGACACCCTGTCTCAAGGAAAAAAAAAAAAAAGAAAAAATAATAACTGTAGCCAACTTTTTAAATTAAGATATCTTAGACTGCTTTATAAAAGCTTAGTTATGGAAACTACGTGCTTACTACAAAACATTTGAAAATGTTAAAAATTAAAAGATTACATATAATCCCGTTATTCAGAGGTTTTTAAAGGACACTTTTTTATATATAATAAAGCTACCTGAATCTCCATTTATAATATGATTTTTTTTTTTTTTTTTGAGACAGAGTCTCACTCTGTCACCCAGGATGGAGTGCATTGGCATGATCTCAGCTCACTGCAACCTCCACCTCCTGGGTTCAAGCGATTCTCCTGCCTCAGCCTCCCAGGTAACTGGGATTACAGGCCTGTGCCACTACACCCGACTAATTCTCTAAATTTTTTGTAGAGACGGGGTTTCACCATGTTGGTCAGGCTGGTCTTGAACTCCCGACCTCAAGTGATCCACCTCAGCCTCCCAAAGTGCTGGGATTACAAGTGTGACACCACACCCGGCCACTAGTTAATATTTTTTAAAAACTCATGTGCCAAAACACAGTTTTAAATGTTCTATGTGCATCATCTCACTTCTCACAACAAAACTAGGAGGTAAGAGATACTATCCCTGTAATGGGACTCAAACCCTCATCTCTGAATTTAAAGTCTTTATAACCTTAACCACTCACCATACTATATTGCCTTACTCTCATGTAAAGAAAAAGCCAACTTGCAGAGTAGTGTGTATGATGTCTCCTCATTTTTATAAACTTATTTTCTTTATAAATGTGTATGCATAAAGAAAAATCTGAAGAATATTTGCCAAACTAATTCTAGAAACTACATCCTACTTTTTATATTTCTACTTTAGATTTGTTTCAATTATTACTTTTATAATTAGATAAAATAATAAAGTTTAATTTTCAAAACAAAATTGAGAACAAAATGTAACATTTTTAATCCTGATAAGTTTTTAAATGTAAATTATTAAACAATTTTTTAAACAAAAAATTCTTCTCCTTAGTGACTTTTGGGATGGTAAACCCACATACATATTACTTAAACAAAGTTATGTCATCCCTATTTTTGGACACTTCTGTGCCTGGTGAAGAAAGAACCAACTTTAAGTCTATTCGCAGCATAACTGATTTTTGGAAGGTAAAGTATCGTGTGACTGTGGATGAAGTAGATTTAGGTAGTCCATGAACTCTTGGCATACATAGTGAGCACCCAATGAATATCTTTTGAAGAAACAAGTAAAAATAAATATCATTTCTTGAAACCATTAGAAACAACCAACCAGTAAGTGTTTATTGAGAGCCTATGTTCTCATTGTGATACTATTCTTGTAACTTTTTTAAAAATTGATTTTTTTGGCCAGGCATGGTAGCTCACACCTGTAATCCCAGCACTTTGCTTTGGGAGGCTGAGGTGGGTGGATCACCTGAGATCAGGAGGTCGAGACCAGCCTGACCAACATGGTAAAACCCTGTCTCTACTAAAAAATACAAAAATTAGCCGGGTGTAGTGGCGGGTGCCTGTAATCCCAGCTACTGAGGAGGCTGAGGCAGGAGAATCACTTGTACCCAGGAGGCAGAGATTGCAGTGGGCCAAGATCCCACCATTGTACTCCAGCCTGGGGAACAGAGCAAGACTCTATCAAAAAAAAATTTTGATTTTTTTTAAACATTCTCATTTCATTTGTTAAATAGAAGACTTGCATCTTATGTGAGGGTTAGGATCTAGTCAGTCTATAATTGTGTATAGTGAAATGTACTCTTAAAAAGTTCTTTAATTGCCCAGACAGTGTAATATATGTGGTTTTGGCATACAACCCTTTACTGTGTATTTGTGTTTCAGTAATATTCAGTATATAACAAAAAGTACATATAAGAATATCATGGTGTTTTTACTTACGTAAGGGAATCATTCCTTCAGCATTGGAATAGACTTGCTTTTTCCATTACATTTAACGTAACAACATGCTCACATTATGAGGAAAGAACAGTTAAGGGGACAGCAGTTTCAGCTATCCCAGGACACAAAACCTGGCATATGCACATTGGGGCATATAAGAACAAGGCAGTTAGAGAAGGCTTTCAGTGGTGATGACGATTTAGTTGCATTTTGAAGGATGAATCAGGGATGGATATTTTAGGACAAACAAACAGTATGTTCTATAAGTAATTCTACACGTGGAGCTACGTTTGGTATTGTGGGCATGTGGAAGATGAGGTGGAAAAGGCCAAATTATGAATTGGACAAAGGTCATATCATGAATGCTGTACAGGATTTTGAAACTTATCAAGGAGACAGGGTCATTTCTTGAAAGTGAGAGGGCAAGTGTGAGATCCTAGCTGATTAGATGAAATAGAAAAGAATAATAAAAGAAGTGGAGGTCACCCTGCCACTTTGTTATTATGTTATCTGAAGTATGTATGTGGCCAATGGCAGAGAAGACAAAAGGAGGAAGTAAATAAACCCTGGGCTTGGGATCTCAGAACGAGCAGCAAGGGGCAGAGCCTGGAGTAGCAGGCACCATGGCCAGAGTTGGGGAGGAGAGTTGGGAGGAGATGTACAGACATCTTTGGGGTGAAGTCATGATGTATGGCTATGACCAGCTCTGATACTCATGTATTGGAAGAAAATTTTCAATTTACTCATATAAGGAGAGAAGAAGGGCTATGGGATTCAATGCGTTAATGCTTGTAAAGTGCTTAGAGCAGGGCCTAGTACACAGTACATGCTTAATGAGTGTTAACCATCCGCAGTAGCTTCATTAGCATTACCATTACCATTAATGGTGGCTCGGTCAGCAGTTTAATTTTCATACTCAAAATCTCTTATGCATAATGTTATGAATGTAGATTCTATTGACATGAAAATATTTTTCCCATGACATTTATTTTTCTATATGAAGTTTATGGAAGGACCCCTTTTGGAAGGTCTGTATTGGGATTCATGGTACAGTAACCAGCAGCTGTATGATTTGAAGAACAGCAGTCGTATCTACTATGAGAACTTACTTCTAGGAGTCCCCAGAGTTCGTCAACTAAAAGTCCGCAACAACACATGCAAAGTCTATTCATCTTTTCAGTCTTTGATAAGCGAATGTTATAGCAAATACACTTCTGCAAATGAAGACCTCTCTAATTTTGGCCTTACAAGTAATAGTGAGTAAGTAGCATAAAATTATACTGCAATTTTTTCTAGCATTTACCATTGTATCTTTTAGATGTGTGTTTTCCAAGTAACGCCAGATGGGGCCTGGAAGGATAAGGAGATTGTTTCAACAGAAAAAAAAAAAAAAAAAAGGAAGATTGGGAGATAGCAGTGTTTAGAAAAGGAAAGGTGAACCTATTATTTTTGTCTATTTTAGGATGCAAAGTGTTTTCTTTTTTCTGACTTTGGTATATGAAGTGCTTAATCATATTCGACACAGGGCAAAGCATCAACTTTTGCTTCTAAAATGGTCAATTACTCTGCTTTTCTGGCTATGGCAAGATGCCCACAACACATCCCCAGGACGATTTAGGATCCTTAGTGGGTGTCTTAGATGTGCTGTGTCACTTCTCTCCTCTCTCACTCTGCCTTCCTTCAGTGATTTTTTCTTTCAATGTCCCTGCTAAAATGGGGCGGTTATGCTCTATAGCATCCCATAAAACATTATGGGTGTACGCCACAGCACCCAGCCCATTCTCTTAACTATTATAGTACTATTCACTTTCTTTCAACCCAAAATTACAAGATAAAGTAATTATTTACATATTTTAAATTGGAATCTAAACTAATCTTTTAGTTATTTTTATATTCCAAATTCTCATAACAAGTACAAATACTTTATTAAATACCAAAATTAACACTATCAATTGGGTTTATTTTACTATCTCTATACTTTACTGAAGTTGTGAGTTAATATCTGTTAATCCTCAACGATGAAAAAAGGATCAATTTGTACTTGTCTAAAATGTAAAATTCACTAATTAAAAACAAAAATTGGAAGCTAGGAGAGAGCTGACATAACAGATCTTCCTGTTTCCACTTAATAGTCATGTGTGGAAAACACTCAAAAATAAAACTATGGAAGTTTCACTAAAACATAGGTACTTCTGGCCAGGTGTGGTCCCAGCACTTTGGGAGGCCGAGGTGGGTGGATCACTTGAGGTCAGGAGTTCGAGACCAGCCCAGTCAAGATGGTGAAACCCCACCTCTACTAAAAATACAAAAATTAGCCAGGTGTGGTAGTGCGCACCTGTAATCCCAGTATCCAGGCTACTTGAAAGGCTGAGGCAGAAGAATCACTTGAACCTGGGAGGCGGAGGTTGTAATGAGCTGAGGTTGTGCCACTGCACTCCAACCTGGGTGACAGAGAGAGACTCCATCTCAAAAAGAGAAAAAATAAAAAACATAGGTACTTTTTCCTAGCAGTGTCACTTTCCCTCCCGGCTGAAACATAGTGTTATTAGTAGAAAAACAAGTTTAATCAGTGTATATTTGAATAACCTTTCAAATCCGTTTTGGGGGAACTGAATAGAGAGACTGAAATAAGGAATCAAAGCTTTCTTTTTTGGATATCCTATAATTAAAAGTTAAAAAGATGAAATTTTAAAAATGGTTTTTTTTAGACAGAATCTCACTCTGCCACCCAGGCTAGAGTGCAGTGATGCAGTCTTGGCTCACTGCAGCCTCCGCCTTCTGGGATCAAGAGATTCTCCTGCCTCAGCCTCCCACATAGCTGGGATAGCAGGCACACACCACCATACCCAGCTAATTTTTGTATTTTTAGCAGAGATGGGGTTTCACCATGTTGGCCAGGCTGGTCTTGAACTCCTGGCCTCAAGTGATCCACCTGCCTCAGTCTCCCAAAGTGCTGGGATTATAGGCATGAGCCACTGCACCCAGCCCAAAATTTAGTTTATACACAGTTTATTTTGATTGTATGTACTTTCATTAAAATAAAATATATATGTAACAACATAGACTTTGTAACAAAGTTTTTATTGAACATTTATAAACAATATATGACATTTATAAGACAGACTATGAAGCACCTTGTTTTCTCATTCTGAACCCTTGATATTCTTGTCCTACTCACACTAAACATCTCATAACAGAAACAACCTGTTAAAGAAAAAAAAAATAGTCATCATTTTCCAGATTCTAAGATTCCTGAGGCAACAGTTGGATTTTTTTGCTGTTTTTTTTTTTGTTTGTTTTTTAGAGATGGGATCTCCCTATGTGGCCTAGGCTACAGTGCAGGGACTATTCACAGACACCATCATAGACACTGCAACTTCAAACTCCTGGCCTCAAGCAGTCCTCTTCTCCTCTCAGCCTCCTGGGTAGCTAGAACTACAGGCATATGCCACCAAACCTAAAGACGGATTTTTTTTTTTTTTTTCCTGAGATAAGGTCTGACTTGGTCACCCAGGCTGAAGTGCTGGAGTGTGGTAACACAATCGTAGCTCAATGCAGTCTTGAACTCCTGGGCTCAAGCAGTACTCCTGCTTCAGACTCCTGAGTAACGAGGACTGCAGGCACATACTGCCATGCACAGCTAATTTTTGAAATATTATAGATTTTTGAAAAATTTTCTCATAGCACCTAGTCCAGTGGTGTTGCCCACCATAAGCATTAAAAAGTAAAAAAATATATTAAATTTAATTAAATATTAATCCTTTGAACTTAATCCTTAACACATTGTCTTGCTTTAAAATTACTATAATACTTATGAATTTACTACTACTTTTTAAAAAACTACTACTTTTGTTTTTTTTTTGTTTGTTTGTTTGTTTTGAGACAGGGTCTGGCTCTGTTGCTCGGGCTGGAGAGCAGTGGTACGATCACAGCTCACTACAGCTCGACTTCCCGGGCCCAAGCAATATTCCCACTTCAGCCTCCTGAGTAGATGGGACTACAGGCACATGCCACCATGACTGGCTCGTTTTTGTATTTTTTTTATAGAGATAGGGCTTCACCACATTGCCCAGGCTGGTCTTGAACTACTGGGCTCAAGGGATCTGCCTGCCTCAGCCTCCCAAAGTGTTGGGATTACAGGCGTGAGCCACCACACCAGGTCAAAAAACTACTACTTTTGAACAAAGATTAACTTAAATTCTTAGAATACTTCTCAGCTGGGCTTTCTCATTTCACCGTTATTCTTTTTATGTCTAACAGATGGAGGTACTCTACTTCTAATACCAACTCCCCTTGGCACTGGGGATTTCTTGGTGTTTACCGAAATGGGGGATATATTTTCACTTTATCAAAATCAAAATCTGAAACCAAAAACAAGTTCATTGACCTTCGACTCAACAACTGGATCACAAGAGGGACCAGAGTTATTTTTATTGATTTTTCCTTATATAATGCTAATGTAAATCTGTTTTGTATTATCAGGTGAGTGACTCAGAACTTTTTTTTTCATAGACAGTGGTCAATGGCCTACAAAACTTCTTTATTAGCACAACCAACCCTTGAACAACATGAGTTTGAACTACCCAGGTTCCACTTAGATATGGATTTTTTTTCAGTAATATATTGGAAAAATTTGGGGACCTTTGTGACAATTTGAAAAAAATTCCCAAACCATGTAGCCTAGAAATACTGAAAATTAAGAAAAAGTTAAGTATGTTATGAATTAATAAAATACATGTACTCATCTATTTTATCACTATCGTAAAATATATACAAATCTATTATAAGTTAAAATGTCAAAAACTTATGCACACAAACGTGTCACTATTTGTAGTCAAGAAAAATATAAACAAATGTAAAGATGCAATACTAAATCATAACTGTGTAAAATTAACTAGAGTACACACTGTACTACTGTAATAATTTTGTAGCCATCTCCTGTTGCTATTGCAGTGAACTCTAGTGTTGTATCCATTTAAAGTGTCGTGTGATGCTCACCACCTTCACATAAGCAGTTCGTCTCTCCAGTAAATTGCATATCTCAGAAAAAAAAATGATCTCTCATAGTTCTTGTGTGTTTTTTATCACATTTAGTGCAATACTATGAACCTTTAATAACACCATGGGACCCATAGAAAGTGCCACTAGTGATACTGGGGATGCTCCCATGAAGCAGAGAAATGTCATGACATTACAAGAGAAAGTTGAATTACTTGTTATGTATCATAAATTGATGTCTGCAGCTAAAGTTGCCCACTATTTCAAGATAAATGAATCCAGAGACTAAAGATCATTGCCCTGGGGGTAGGGAGAGGGAAAGAAAATTCATGAAGCCATCACTGCAGCTATGCCAACAGGTGTGAAACCTTGCTTTTTACAAAATACCTTTTTATTTCATTGAAAATGCAGCTTCTGTGTGAATGCAGGATTGCTATAGGAAAGGCATACCTTTAGATTCTTTTTTTTTTTTTTTTGCCAAATTGCAGGGTCTTTATTGCCGGCAGCCACGGAGGACTCGCGTCTCTCCAACCCATGGCCCCGAAAGGAGAGTGTCAAGACCTTTTATACCCGTAAAACCACCTCGGGAGTGAGGGTGAGGGGCAGGGGTGGCGGTGAGGGGCTTCAGATGTTCTGAGGGCTAGTGGATTCTGTAAATCACCTCCTGGGCAGAGATGAGGGTGAGGGGCTTCGGACATTCCAGTGGATTCCTGGGCGAAGATGAGGGTAAGGGCTCCGGACACTCTGAGGGCCAGGGGACTTTTTGACATTCTTACTGTTACTTGAGTGGTTCACAAAAGTCAAGATTAGCATTTGTTTACACATTGTCTGGGTAGGGTGGAAATTATGGTCCTTACTTATTCACATTTGGGTTATAGAGGGCAGTTTGAACAGAAAGCTGAGGTATGGTTGAGGTATGTAGTTTTATGGGGCTTTTACCATGTCACATTCCACCCTTATTTACAGTAATTCAGTCACTGATTCCTCCAACAGGTTAGTATTGTTTGTTGGTTCTAAGGGCTCATATCGAGACCTTAATATCATTAGTCTATGTTTTTGGTGTACCCTGATATAGTGGAGATAGTTTCACAACCCCAGTGGGGGCAAAAGAATTCATTTAAGTCTCCACAGTTCCATCTTTTTTTGTGTGTGGGGTGGTTCCTGGGCACAGATAGTTGTTGCTCTGCCCCTGAACTGCCGCACCCGGCTACACCTCCACTTGTTCTGAAATTTAGGTTGGGGCCCAGGAAGGCACAGAAGTCTAGGGGGAGAAGGTAATGGGTTTCTTTGGAATATACTCCAGGGTTAAGTTGACTAAGGTGGATCCCTTCCCAGTTAAGGAACTAACATATCCTCCGGTGGAGCCCATTGATAGTAGGTGGGTTCTAGAGGGATTTGCTATAGAGATTTACAACACGGATTAGGGTGGCGAGGGTGGTGACCGTGAAGAGTGCACATGTCTTAGCTTTAATGAATCAGGGGATGAGTGTTTGACGCTCCATTGTCTTTCCGGTGGGGCAGTCTTAACGTGGGTATGATGAATCCAGGCCATTAGTCCATCCACCTTGAGTGCGGTGGGTATGGTCAGGATAACCCTGTAGGGTCCCTTTCAACGGGGAATGAGTCCAGAGGTGTTGAATCCTTTAACAAGGACAGAGCCTCCGGGCTGGAAGGGGTGTGTTGGCTGGTCTTCGAGGTCCAATGGGGTGGGACGGGTGTCCTTAATGAGCTGGTGTATCTGGGGTTGAATAGACTGGAACGCCTGTAAGGACTCCGGAGGTTCCCGGGGCCCTGAGGAATTTCAGGTGAATGTCGGCCGGGTAGTCGCTCATCCTCCATGGGGCTGGAACTCTGGGGCCCTGGAACATCTCAGAGGGCGCCTCCCCTAGAGGTCCCAGAGGTGGGAGCGGCTGCCTGGGCAAGACTCTGGATGGCTTTTGTCTGGTGATGGACGAAGATAAATCTCAGTGGGACCTCCAAAATGTTGTGCTGGGCCGAGCATAGAAAGTCAACACCAAGACAAAAGTATGCCAAATTGCAGGGTCTTTATTGCCAGCGGCCACGGAGGACTCGCGTCTCTCCAACCC